TGTTCAACAAAACAACATCCAGAGGCATCACATCCCTAGTATAGAGCTATAGTCCCGAAAACATCTTGGTGTTGGCACAAAAATAGACAGGTAGACCAATACAATTGAATTGAACACCATGATATTAACCTATTCACATACGAACACCTAATCTTTGATAAATAAATTAAAATTATACATTGGAAAAAAGAATACATCTTCAGCAAATGATGCTGGCATAACTGGATGCTAGCATGTAGAAGACTGCAGATAGATCCATGTCTATCACCATGTACAAAACTTATATCCAAATGGATCAAAGACATCAACATCAATTCAGCCACACTGAACATCTTAGAAGAGAAAGTAGGAGGTATCCTTGAATAAATTGGTACAGAAGACTGCTTCCTGAACATAACACCAGTAGCACAGACACTGAGGTCAACAATTAATATATGGGACCTCCTGAAACTGAGACGCTTCTGTAAAGCAAATAACACAGTCAACAAGACTAAAAGATAGCCCAAAGAGTGAGAAAGGATATTCACTAACCCCACATCTGACAGAGGGCTGATCTCCAAAATTTACAAAGAACTTAAGAAGCAAGTCTCCAAAATACCACAGGATCCAATCAAAAAGTGGGGTACAGAACTAAATAGAGAATTCTCTATAGAAGAGTCTAAAATGGCTGAGAGACACTTAAGAAAGTGCTCAACATCCCTAGTCATCAGGGAAATACAAATCAAACCAACTCTGAGATATCATCTTTCTCCTGTAAGAATGGCTAAAATCAAAAACACCAATCACAGTTTATGCTGGAGAGGATGTGGAGAAAGGAGAACACTCCTCCACTGCTGGTGGGAGTGCCAACTCATACAGCCACTTTGGAAATCAGTGTGGAGATTCTTCTAGTCTACCACAAGACCCCTCAATTCCACTCTTAGGCATATATCCAAAAGATGCACATTCATACAACAAGGACGTCTGTTCTTCTATGTCCATAGCAGCATTATTTGTAATAGCCAGATTCTGGAAGTACCTAGATGCCCCTCAACTGAAGAGTGGATAGAGAAAATGTGGTACATTTATACAATGGAGTACTACTCAGTGGAAAAAAAACAATGGAATCTTGAAAATTGCAGGCAAATGGATGGCACTGGAAGAGTCCATCCTGAGCCAGGTAGCCCAGTCACAAAGAGACAAATATGATATGTACTCACCCATATATGGATTTTAGACATGAACCAGGGGAGTGTCAGCCTACAATCCTACTGCCAAACCTTCATTCAGTTACTGATAGAAGCAGAGGCAGATAGCCCCAGCTAAACACTGAACTGAACTCCTGGGACCCAGTGACAGAGAAGGAGAAGTGATGAGCAAAGGGGTCAAGACCATGATGGTGAAACCCACAGAGACAGTTGACCTGACAAAGGGGGGGGGTGCTTGGACCCCAGACTGATGGCTCATCCAGACTCCCTGATGTGGTGTCAGTGAGGAGACCTTGGCAACCTCTAGGGCCATGGATAATAGATCAATATGTAATGAACTTTGAGAGCCCATCCCATAATGATGGATGGTCTCTCAGCCTGGACACATGGGGGAAGGCCTAGGCCCTGCTCTGCGTGAAATGACACTCTCGAGATCTCCCATGAAGGGCCTCACCTTCCCTGGGGAATGGTGTGGGGATTGGGTGGGGGGCTAGTGGAGGGGCAATGGAGAAGGGGAGGGAGAGGGAGCTGGGATTGACAAGTGAAGCAAGCTTTTTTTAATTTAAATTAAAAAATTATATATAACATGATGCCTTTCTGCCTGGTCCCTGAGCCGTGTCAGTCCCAAACAACAAACAAAACACTATATTAATTATGAAGCTGTTGGCCGTTTCCTTGGTTTCTTATCAGCTATGTCTGACTTGATTATTAACCCATAATTACTCATATATATTTTAGAAGAACTTATCTTTGCTAGGATGCACTCGTGCTGCATCCATTCCTCCCAGGAGTCACATGGCAACCAGCCTCTTCACTACATTTCCTAGAATCCTCCTAGACCCCTAGTCCCACCTAATTTGGTTCCCTATTGGCCAACAGTGCTTTATTCAACAACCAATAAGAGAGACAGATTTACAGAATGACATCTCCCATCATAAGAGAGAGAGAGAGAGAGAGAGACAAAGAGAGAGAGAGAGAGAGAGAGAGAGAGAGGAGGAGGAGGAGGAGGAGGAGGAGGAGGAGGAGGAGGAGGAGGAGGAGGAGGAGGAGGAAAGGAGCTGAGTTGTCTTCTGTCTGTCCAGGCCTCTAGCAAGGACTTTAACTGCTTCTTTAGGGTCCCTATCCTACCAAAGCACTTTCTATCTTCTGTTCTTACCATTAAAGTAGGGAAGACAAAACTGTGTGTCTACTCCTCCCATGTGATGCTCCTCTTTCCCCCTCTGCCTGTTAGCCACCAAGTCTAGGGAGGAAGAGGAAGATAGAGTGACAGAAAACTTTGGTGGCCCATGAGCACAAATGAAGATAGTCTTCTGAGAGACAGATTTCGGTGAATGAGCTACATTTTATATCAGAGTATAAGGAATACATAGGATTGGGGGTCCTGGGGAGAAACCCTAATTTTCATTAAGTAACATGTTCCTATCACAAGGCAGTAGGGTCCAATAGCAGAGTCCCTAGCATAAATCTTAGTAAGTTTCTGTGCCAAGGGTGAAGCTAAAGATGAATCAGGCATCTGGTTAAGAGACAACTTTTAGGTAAGGTCAGTCCTTCAGGCCAAGAAACATTCTCCATATAAGGGCATGAAGAGAGCAGGAAGTTTTGCTGGAGAGAGGGAGCTCCATGTGGTGGGGTTATTAAGATAAGCTGCTAGGCCATGGGGAGGCTGCAACCTCTGACCAGCCAGACACTACCCTTTTAGCCACTCAGGAACCAACAGACCCTGCAATGCCATAGGAAGTGAATAGATAGAACAGGAAAAAACAGCACAGCTTCTAGATCAGAAGAGTCACAAGATACACAAGAACTCAAGCCACTTTTCTGGTTAAAGATGTTGAACCTGCTGGCATTGGTGGCACATGCCTTTAATCTCAGCACTCAAGAGTCGGGGGCTGGCATATCTCTGTGTGTTCAAAGCCAGCCTCTTCTACAGAGCAAGCTCCAGGACAGATTCCAAAGCTACAGAGAAACCCTGTCTCAACAAAACAAAAAACAAAAAACAAAAAAAGTTGAACTTTTTTTTTCATGAATCAGTCATTTTTTCCCCAAAGCCTTTGATTCTATTTACTAGCTTTCCCATTCCCGCTGGAATTCAAGATTTGAAAAAAAATTATTTATGTTAAGAATGCCATTGGAATTCTCATTCCTTTGACAACATATCTAAATATTTATTGCCAATATTCAGGGTTTTTTTCAAGTGCTATAAATGTTAGAGCTTTGTGTTTTACATTTTGGTCTGTGATTCATCTTGTAGTAGTCTTTAAGTGTATAGGGTTCCTGTTTAGATCTCATTGTATGTGCCTGTCTAGTTATTGTTGTCATATTTGTTGGGAAGACATTTTTTCTTTTGTGCCTTTCTTTAAGATCCCATGATCAACTTCATATGGATCCATCTGTGCAGTCTACAGTGTTTAACTGATTAATTAGTTTACACTTTTTTCAAAAGTATGCTTCAGTGGTTAACATAGCTTTAAGGTAAGCTTTGAAATAGGATGGTGTGAGAAATCTAAGTTAAGTGGTTTGGTAATATTTTATTCATTTGAATTTTCTGTCTTTAAACATAAACTTTCTCAGAAGTTTGTTCATGTCCACTAAATAACTCACTGAGAGCTTTTGGAGACACCACTGAGTTTGTAAATCAGGTTTGAAAACACTGACATCTTGGTAATGAGTCTTAAATTCCTTAAACATGATATGCTCACTTACTTTCTCATAATTTCTCATCATAGTTTTGTACTTTTTCTTCCTCTATATCTTCTATTTGGAACAACCTGTAGTTTTTAATCAACAGAAAATGGAATGGAGTATATGAATCTTCCTTCTTCACTCTATGTTATATAATGTAGGTAAATGGTTAGTTAATAGTTGAAAATAGTGACTATGAGTTTTGGAGAAAAATAAGTGAAAATGGTTCAGAGAACTCAAAGGGAAAAGATATTGGTTTGAAAAAGAAGCTTGTATATGAAATATGGCATTGGTGGCTAATAAAATAAATGAAAAGGGATATATTGTTATACTAATGATAGTATAATAATATATTAAGAAGGTATATCATGAGAAAATTCATACCGCTGCAAGTATTAACTGTTGAATGTAGTGGATTCTTAATGTGTTTCACCACAGTCCTATGAGTTATGCAGTATGTTATATCACATGTAATCAGACCATTTTACATTGCATTCTTACCCCCTCTTTACAGTTAAGGAAACAAAAGAGACCCACAATTGACCATGGTTGCTAGTAAACAAATTGAGCATAATCTGGACGTTGTGAATTTGAAAAAACTCTTCCTCTCCAAGACCATGTTTGCTGCCTTGGTTGGTTCCAGGGACATTTTACATGATACAATTTACTGACTCTCCAAGGATGGTAAAGACTTAAGCAGTAGAAGTCAGAATTTGGTGAAGAAAATTCCACAATCTGAAAGATTCTAATCAATCCTCCTCTAAATAGTATTAAACTTGGAGACAGACAATCTCATCAAAAAGACAGCATTCTGAAGACAACTTGGCTACGTGAGCTCTGGATTCATCTTTCCTGGGTAACAAGAGATAGACTGTAAGTAAGGGAAGTAATTTATAAACTCACAGAAAGCAGTGAAATGCAGAGTCTTATCAGGTTATACCCATGATTTTAAAGGAAAGTCAAGAGGAATTATTAGATGCATAACTTTTATCATAAATATACCTTCCCAATGAGAAAAATATTAATTATAGAGTCCCTAAGTGGCATTTAAAAATACATATATGATATTCTAACTGAAAAATGTAAAAAATTTTCATAAAGTAGGTGAATCTGAAATAAAGCATTAGAATCTGATGGCTTGATGAATTTTATTAGCTATCAAATTCATTTGACAGGCAAAATACTTAAAGATACACTCAGATAAGCAAAAATAACAATGTTTCATTAACAATTCTTTCAGATAGGCCTTATATGACAGTTGCTTCCTCTTGTACTGAGAGATGAGATAGTGGGTTTTTGGAAAACAGTGTATAGTCTTTCAATTAAAAATAAAAAAAATCAAATGATCAAAATGGTGCTGTTGTCCTGCTTTGGGATAATGATGTGTGCTCAATTTTGCTATAATATCGCATAATTTCATATAAAATGCCAAATGTGATGACTGTTCAGACATCCTGTAACGTATTTTGCAGAATTGCAAAACATCCTACTATGTGATATGATTATTATCTATTTTAATTATAGAGAACACATCATGCTCAAGATCTACATTTATTTGAAAACATTTAGTTCAGTTTACATGAATGCAGAAAACATAACATCCAATAAACCACAGTTGTGGAAGAGCTGAAATAATCAAGTTCTGTCACATTTACACACACATAATTATATATCTGGAAATCACAATCACGTGTCAAGTGCTAGCTTCTCAGTAGTAGTAGGAGCCTCTCTTGAGTATGTAGGGCCTTCTAGGTTTATTCTCGTACAGCTGCCTTTTCAGAATGTAAGGGATTTTTCTCTTTATCACTTCTTCCTTCTCAGTTTTTTCATTGCCATTGTCAAGAATGTCTTCCTGGATGATCTAAAATAAAGAAAACACAAAGGGAAGTTACATGCATGAAATATATTTCCTAAATTTCCCCACATTTTATTCTGCTTATTTTAAGAAAAAGGCACTTGTAGGATCAGAGAAGCTATTTTGTCACATGACAGATGGTTATAAATGACTGAGATGGAATCAGATCTGATTATTTATGCACTTTCCCAGTTCACCAGCCTACCTCTTTTCAAAAATGTATTTATATTTTCCAGCTGAAGGGCCATACCAGAGTCACCTCCTAATAGTTTTGTGACTTTGACTATATAATGGCAGCCCAACATCATATGAAGTGTATCACAATAAATTCAGTTTTGAATTTCACATGCCATTTGAATAAGAAAATAACAGGATTTTACATTGACTTAAGTCAATTTCTGACATTACTTGAAAGTCATTCCAGTGACCAGTTTCCTAAACAGAGGAAGGATTTCCTGTTCCAAGCATCCTATATATTGTAGATATTTCAATTGCAATGCACATGCATACCATCCTGTCACCAAGTCTTTTATTTCAAGCCACAGTTATTGAGTTTCAGAGAAGGCAAAGCAGCTACTGTCAGCGAATCTAGGTTTTTAATCTTTACTTTCTTTAAAGTGCATAGTCTGTAATTACTTGTACTGTGCTCAGAATGATAGTATCATTTTATTTTTAAATGACTCAACAGTTAAAATAACTAGATTCGCGGGTTTATGTTCAGTTGACTTATCTGCTAATTAGTTTATGGAGGGTCTTTCTTCTGTGAGTAAATAGGGCATAATTGGCATTTCCCTCTGCTAAGATCTGAATTTTCAAGTTTTATTGAGCTAAATAATGTTTTAGAGACTTTTACATTTAGCTGGAATTAAAATTAAAGGATGAATAGTGCAACAAGATAATTTGAACTAGCCTTTTCGGTTTCTCATCTGGAAAGCGTGGTTATGTTTACCAGTTAGTATAAACACCAGCAGCTATGCCTGCGTTTCTTCCTTCCATGGGGTATCTCTGTGGCAGCCACTCACAGGCTGTTTGCTATAATAACAGAGAGGGCACCCTCAGAACTGCAGTGTTGGTGTAAGCACACAATTTAAAACATTAAGCAAGCTTCTCAGGCCTTGATCAGAAAAATAATATTTCTCCAGCTGAAAAAGTGTAACAGGATTCCATTTTTCCTTTTAGAAACATGTGGTTGCCTCCCACAGTTTCCTTCTTTCCATTCAAATTTTTGGTACTCCTTCTCAAAGCCCTAATTTATTATTAGTGAATGTATGCCAAGACAATGAAAAAATAAATAGTTTGTTGACAATATTATTTTGGTAATTGGTAGATTACTAAAACTTTCAGTTTTTTTCTACCCTTTAATGCAGGTCAACCAGACTTGGCAGTACACATGTTGATACTAGTACTTTGGGGAGAGAGAGAAGAGGATTGCTACATGCTTGAGACCATTCTGGACTACATAATAATGTCATAGGCCAACCAGGGTTACATAACTATATAACCTCATGTCAAAAATGCATAAATAAACAATCTCAAGATACATTTACAGCATCCTTAATGCCATTCCTTCAGTGATGTCTTGCTTGCTTATTTTATCAGTAGAAAAGTATGTTTTGTAGTTAATAACTAATAATTAAAGAACCAAATCCAATTTGGATATACCTAAGGAGTAGTTATTTATCTTTCTGAATTTAAGTTTTGAGTCTTAAGAGGACCTCGGCTAATTGATCAATGTCTGTTTCAGAACATGTAGATGACAGAACATCTAGATTATGGATACAGAATGCTGAAAATAAAAGTTATGTTTACTTACCTAGTAATCTAGAATGCAAAGACCTTTCCATATGTGGCTATGTATGTGTATTGCATACATACATATGCATATATTTATATATAATTATTTTAAAAATTAAATATTTTACTTGCCCAATAATCAAATAAAAAAGCAATTCCTATGTATATGCTAATCTGTGAGTTGCACCCAGCACTCTTTGATATTTCCTCTGTTTTCTTTGAAATTTTGTATTGTGTTTGTTTATAGGTACGGACACATGATTTTTGATTTTAGGAAAACAGATAGATTTACTTAAATTTCTTGGTGTGTGTCACTATTGCCAGCATATTAAAAAAAACTCCCTCAGTGCTTCATCCATTTACATATATGGTTCAAAGTGCCTTATATATGTCATTATCCTTTAAAGATTGAAGAAAAAAGTTTGCTATTCTCCAAATGTTTGAAGAACATTTTGAAGTTAAGAAGGGTGTTGACTTCAAAACATGCTTCAATACTTTCTAGTATTTGTAAGTCTCCCTACTATGATTTTATCAGGGCCTAGGCATGAATACAAATGAGAGCCCACTGGTGCAATCACCCTCATGTCATTTTTGGGTTCAGTTGTACCTCCCAGTGTTGAAAGGCCCTGCTGTGGCAGATTTTTTGGAGCTGGAATATGGTCAGCATTGCTTCCAAGCTAAAGCCATCCAGAACAACAGGAAGTTTCCTTTTTCCAACAAGATCATCTTCATGCATTTCTCCTGCTTCCTCAGCTGGGCTGTTAAGGTTATTTATAAGGCTGCAGACATTTAGCAAGGTCATTTTCCAAGAGGGAGGACTTGCTTTACTGATCTGAAATATTGCAAAAAGGTATTAGAGTTAAAGTTTGTTAGTAGAGTATGGAATATGTATTGATTGTGGTAAGCCACTATATTTTAATTTCTACTCGTGATAGAACTGTGAATATGTGAATCATTTTTATTATATTCTAAACTCACAGACATTCCAATCTATGAGTATAAGGATTTTCATCCTATTTTCAAAAATCTTGGAATCCTTTCTACTACGTGTCTTGACCAGGATTATCCAACCATTGCTTACAATGTTCTGAGTTAGTATATTTTAAAAGATACATTCTTCATTTAATTTCAGCAATACCTAATTCTTTACCAGTTAAAACATTATTTCAATTTTACATGTGGAAAGTTCTTTATAGATTTTCTATTTCAGTGTTTCCTAAAATGAGTCATGTAGAACACTGTTTCTGCCCTCAACTATTGTTATAATATACTTTAAATTGAGACAGAATTACATCACTTTTCCCCTGCCATCCTCTCCCACATACTTTTCCTCAAACCCTTCCCATGTCTTCCACTACTCTTAAGTTTATGGCCTCATTTCTTTGGTTATTACAGTTGTAAACACACACATATACTTTTATGTGTGTATGCACATATACATATATGTGTGTGTGTGCTTGCGTGCATGCGTGCATACGTGCGTGTGTGCGTGTGTGTGTGTGTGTGTGTGTGTGTGTGTGCAACCAGCTTAGTCTGTTTCTTTTGGTGGTGTTTATAGCAAAAAATATATACACACCTTCATGATTTTAAAAGGACATTCTATTAACAACTATTAGCATTAAAGAAAATGGAAAGGTTTTTAAATTAAATATCCTGAGATCTTACATGTGAAAACATATGTGGGTTGGTGGGAAATACACTAGGCTAGACTAGTCTAGAATATTCTCCCTAGACACATTTGCACACAGAAAGTAAAGGGAGACAAAAAGTTGTAATAACTGACTGTATTACTTTTCTTTTTGTCTAACAGTCAAAAATGTCATTGTGGCTCCTGTCAGAAAATGAAACTGGAGCAAAGGATAACGAAGGAGACACGTATTTGACAATATATTTAAAGAAAGTTTTATGTCTAAATAACAAATTCTAAGTAAAGTCCTAATCACCTGTGTTTCATTATTACATGTAACCTACGAGATCTGGTTTACCCTCTGTATCCAGGAGTCACTGAACTGAGATCAACTTATCAGGTGGTGAATCTGAGGATGTCAACAAAAGTAACTAAAATCATCAGGTGTCACCTAGCTCTAAAGTTTATGTCTTTTCATTGGAACCCTGTCTTCTAACCGTCAATTTTGATATATAGTGATTTACTAATTCTGAATCAATTTCATAGGGCAACCTGGTAATGCAAAGTATTACAACAGTTTTATTCCTAGGCAGATTGGAGACTAGAAAAGGTGCTCTCTATCTTGCACAATATTGGTCAGAATACAGAACTTCAGTGAGCTCATTCAGTAAAAAGTGAATACCTATAGCTAACGCTTTTGAACGAATGAGAACGTGACGTCTATTATAGATAGTGGAATTTATAATCACCTATGAGAGAACCATAAATTTCTACATTCTACATTCCTGCCGTTGAACTTAAAAATATAAGGAAAGCCAAGGTCGATCCTGTTAGTTGCCTAAGATTGAAAAGAGCAGAAGTCTTGGTTTCAGGACTGGAATTCCAGGCTAACATTTGTGTGTCCATGGCTTTCTTCTATGTCATATTTCCTTTCCATGTTACCTTCATGCCATATTTTAGGAAATACATTTATTCACAATTAACAAAAACATAAAACTTTCTATTGGGCTTCACTTGCTTCATTAATTTGAGGCCAAATTACCTATCATCCTGCCAATCTAATAGTCACGACAACAATTTAAGTGTGTTTCCCAGTCTCCATAACATTATCTGTGACTGCTTAATTAAAATTGAAGAATACCAATTGATAGCCCTATAGATACTTTATCTTTCCTATCAACACCCCTGATGTTTCAGAACAGTGGTTCTCAAAAGTGGGTCACAAACCCTTTGGCAAACTTCTATCTTTAAAAATATTTACATTGCAACTCATAACAGTAGCAGAACTAGAGTTCTCAAGTACCGATGAAAATAATTTTATGGTTGGGGTTCCCAAAACAAGAGGAACTATACAAAAGGATCACAGCTTTAGGAAGGCTGGGAACCACTTTCTTACAAGAAAAAAAAATCTATCAAATAAGAATTGTCTCCTAAATACATTCCAGCTTTGAGGTAGGTGACTACACCTATATTTATTAGCATAAGAAAATAATATCGTGTTTAGAGTGGAAATTCACATGTCCTTCTAGCCTGGATTAAAGGAAAGAAAAATTACCTTGGATGCATGCATGTTTGTCAATAAGTCTGCCTCTAATGCTCTCATGTCCTCTTCAGAATCTGAAGAAAATCAAAACCACACGTTTACTGTGTCATCACACATAATGTGATTATATTGCAACCAACATATTACAAATTAATTTAAAAAATTAGTCTCTGAAGCTGATTGTCTTCTGCATGTAATTCCTTCAAAGCAGTATTCAGAAAGAAACCCATCACGGTTTAATTTTCTGCTGACAGCTACAGCAGTACAATCACTTCTAAAAAATGAGCCCATGATAATTTGCTAAGCAAAGTATCCATGATTTAGAATTGTTGCATCTCTGAATAGCAGTAAAATATTTAATTATATTGTGTAATGTAGACCTCAGCAAATATGCTGGCTAGGCCTCATTTTTACCGACAGTAGTTCACACATATAGAAACTATGTGTGGAATAAAGAACAAAATAAGATAAGAACACAAGTGTTGTTTCTTCTTTTCTGTCAAAGCCATAGGGAATCACCCACTAGTAATTTTAGAATGAAAATGATACTGAGAATCACTTCACTACAAATGACATTTTATAAAACAGTCTTTGAAGGAATAAGTTTCTGTTTTAAATAAGAGTTTTGGATTGTGTGCTTCCTATTTTATCATAAGCCAGTGAGGAAAAGGCTTAAGCAAAGGCAGAGCTCTCCATCAACACATGGTAAACAGTATTGAAAACAGATTGCTGAATCATTTTGGAACACATTTTTCCATCATTCCTTTTATGAGAATTGTATAGAGAAGAAAAATTTAGAAATAATAAACAGTCGTAGAACATTTTAATATCCATTAGCCTCTTGAGATAAAACAAGGCAGAGCTTAAAATAATCTTCCACTGTGTAGTCATTAAAACACAGAATCCCACCTGACACAATCAACTGATAAAGTGCATGTAAGAACCAAGTCATTCTGGAGACACTTTTTCTTGGCTTATTGCAAATACATGTTTGCTTGTTTGTTTTTCAAGATGAATAATAAAATTAATTGTATTAACACTGGTAAAAAACGTACATTTGTCACAGAAAAATGATTTCAATTAATATAGAGTTTTTAATCAATAACCTATTTAAATATCTAATTACAACTAATTTCGGCAAATATTTAATAAAATCATATTTGTGGAAAGCTGTATTGTTCTCATAAAATATTTACAGGATGTAATGCTAACAACATAATTAAATCCTTCTAAACAAATAACATTCCATGCTGAGAGAGTTATCTTTGTACTTGTAAATCTTAGCAGGAGTTTAAACAAACACTTAGATTCCTAGTTGTTAACTATAATATTGACAGATAGCAGTTAAATGATTTTACTTCATCTATCTCATAAGAATTTCCACTGTGATGTGTTTGTTCAATTATTGGCAATTATTAATTAAAACACAGTGCAATGATCAAAATATTTCACATTACTCTTTTAAATGTATCTTGTTTTCAAGGAGAGTTGATACTAGCTGACAATAATAAATGTCTTCTCTTTAACTATTACATAAAAACACTGTAAAGCCAAATTTTTATCATAAATGTAAGCATACCAATTTTATGCTTATAGTCTGTGCCTACTAAAGTTACATTCAGAAAGCAACAGCTACATTAATATCACGACTCTGTAACCATGAAACGTGCTTTTAGAAAGGACATGGGACATTGCGCATACATTAGAAATAGTATTCTGTAAATAAGTCTCACTCATGTATTTATTAATATTTATTTCCTATTTCCTAACAAACATATAAAGTTAAAAGTAATTTGAAAATAATCACAAAGGTAAGTGAATGAGAGAAGTCAGCATGTAAGAGAATGAGAAAAGATGAGAATAAAAGTTTGTGAATGGGATATTTTAATGTCTTCATGCTGACAAGTACTGCTTCAATTCTCCTCCATAATGACCAGCCCAAGACAAATTTTCGTCTTTGTTTTATTACTCTTATCTCTTTTCTTTTCAGTGGTCATATTCCAAAGGAGAGTGAATATGTTGTATTTCCTCGATACCACATTCACTGCTTTACAGATTCGTGAAAGTAAAACAAACAGTTCAGCTCTTATAATCAGAACAGGAGAGAGACGTGATATTCACAGTTTCTGTCAGTAACAGGCAGTTAGAGAGGGGGGGGAGCTCCTCCTGGATTCATTAACCTGAGTGGCAGCAACCTGCAAGAGAGAAATCACTTAGGGGAGTTGTGAGATGTAGTTGCTCTTACCTGAGCACAGACTCCAGGAGCTGAAAGCCAGAAGCACCAGGCACACTAGCTGGATGTTCACTCCTGCCATCATCTTTCAGCCTCTGACAAGCAGGTCCAGACAGTCAGAAAGACACTGAAGGAGCTCTCCTCTCCGTGCTTTCTCTTGCCTTCTGCTGGCTTTGAAAGTGAGTGACTATGAAGGATGCTCTGGCCATTCCCTATATATATATGAGCAGGAGGGTGATGTCATGACTGTACAGGATGTGCCCTGCCTTCATCTCCATCCCTCCCCTGCTCCCCCTACTCCCTCCTCCTTTCCCTTTGTCCCTCATCTCATCCCCCACCCATGAACCTTGATTGAAAGTGACGATCTTCCCTAATTGCAGCTGTTGCTCAGGATTTCTGACTCACAGAAAGAGTTGTTAAAAAAATAGCACTGCCACACACAGCATAGTGAGCTCTCCTGGTAGCATTCTTTCTTCATTTTCTCTCATGCTCCAGGAATTTGTCATCTTGAAATCTGGAAATATGATTTTTTAAATTCCTAGTATTTAAGCAAATCTCTAGGACAAAATCAGTGACTCCTTATGCTTGGGAGACTTAAAAACTTGAATATATTTTCTGGTAACACAAACTTCAAAGAAAATGTTTTGTGGTTTCAAAACTCCTAGAAAGCATACGCAGCACATGCTAACATAGGAATGGAAATAGGCACAAGTTGGATAAAATAATGAGATAACAAAACAAATAAAAAAGGGAGATCAGTTTTTAAAAAGGAAGACTATTCGATCCAATGAATAGTATTAATTCCCACTGAGTTGAGTGTTTATTATGTGTAACTAGGGAAAGACTAAGCTGTGTATGTTGGCCTTTAATTGAATGTTTAAAAGAGTGCTTAGAAAATAAAGACAGAAATGGGTTATGGGTTATGTGCTATAAGGGAAGCCCAAAACTGCTGTGTGAATGACACCCCCATCGCCATTTTTACCACTACGTTGTTTAGATATTCCTTGATACAGGTGCTGCATCTCCCTCTCCTCTTTATTTCATCTTTCCCTCCTCAGTTTTTCTGCATTCTGAAAACTGTCCCCTCTCAGTATAATCCTCTTTCCATTGTCAAAATGAGATTCTACTTTCAGAAAGAAAAATATTCTGTATAGTGGTTATTCACCGGAGTTCCGGTTCTAAGAATCCTCGGGTAATTTGTGAGTTACATTGCTCCTCTTCCCTTCTCTTGGTTCTTGGAAGGAAATGGCTCAAATGCCTTTTGGGGGAATAGCTTTATTCCTGCATCCGATACTTGATAACACAAGAAGTGTTCTGAACCAGTATTAGGAATATGAATATTTGAAAGCAAAGATTTCTGAAATTGGTTTAGCATTTTAAGAACACTGAGCATGTAGTAATAACTAAAGGGAAAATCCAGATTGGTACTGCAGACAGTGGGTTTATATTATCCTGTACTTACTATGATATTAACTTCTCAATCTTTGCACCAAACTTAAAGGAAGCTCTTAATTATAAATATTTAATTATTACTTAAATGATAAAGATACATTCTTATAACTCAAGGTTCAAAAACTGAATAGTAGCCGTCTTTTATAGTACTTTACTTTTGATTTGTAGTTTCTGTGAAACAAATACACTGAATTCAGCTCTTCTTGACAGTTATGACTGGCAAGCCTGAAGCATGCATGGATTTTTTCTACCACTGGGGGGAGCAGTGGCAGTTTAGAAGGCTTTTCTATTTCACTGTAGCAGGACTACTTACTTTTCTCATTATCCCAGAATAATTTCAGACTTAATGAAGACAATAAATTATATATTATTTGCATGATATTTAAATTATTTTCTTTGCTTTTAAATTTTAAAACACAAAGTATAATCTTTAAAAAGGTGTTAAAATATGTGCTAGCAGTCTAATAGTAAAAGGAAAATTTGATGCTTATTCCCCCAAGTGGTTTCCTAGCAAGTGGAGCTTGGGGGAGTGTTTATAAATGTATTTCTGAATAATTAAGGAAAATAACATTTTAACTTATTTTAAGCATACCACATGAATATTTATTGTTAAAGTGAGAATTACTTTTTGGTATATGATGAATCCCAGAGAAAGATTACAAGAATATGTATCAACTAATGTCAAATGACACAAAAATCAAAAAGATTATCATAGGTAGCATTTCTCCTTATTAAAAATGAGACAACTGACCAGACAAGGGGAAGCTCTTGAACCCCAGACTGGTGGCTGAGAGGCCAACCAGGGACTGATCCAGACTCCATGAATGTAGTGTCAGTGAGGAGGCCTCAGCAATCTCTGGGGCCTTGGGTAGTAGATCAATGCTTACCATGGCATACGAATGTATTTTGGGAGCCCATTCAACATGGAGGGATGCTCTCTCAGCCTGGACACATGGAGAAGGGCCTAGGTCCTGCCCTGAATGAAATGACAGACTCTGGAGATCCCCTCAAGGAGGGCCTCACCCTCCCTGGGGAATATATGGGGACTGGGTGGGAAACTAGGGTTATGTAGTGGAGGGACAAGGGAGGAGGGGTGGGAGAGGGAGCTAGGACTGACATGTGAAGCATTCATGTTTCTAATTTAAATAAAAACATATATAGGAAAAAATATATATATAACTTTTTCTGTTAAGATTACAATGTTGGTAAATGCCTTTCATTGGTATTATAAAATGCTCTTCCCTTTCCCTTTTAGCTTAGTTTAGTGGAGCTATAGAATGACTGATAAAGAGTTGTTTCAGCAGGAAGGTACAGGTGCCCAGTGGTCTAGGCTTGATTCCTGGGAATCATCCCAAACAGAATGACCAAGACAGAACTTCCCCCAAACTCGACTATTTCTAAACAAAATAACTGAGAACTGACAGAGAAACAAATACCTCACAAAGTGCTTTGAGATGTACTGTGAGTAAAAAGACTGATAAATTGTAAATGTAGCAGAAGACCTTTCAGAACAGGTGATTTGAATATATTAAAGTAAGTAAAAAGAACAAAAAAAGCCACAATGCCTCCACCTTAGGCTCAGGGATCATTGCAGAAGATAGGGCAGAAAGACTGTAAAAACAGGAGAAACAGGAGTTTGCTATGAGAGCTTACTTCCTAGCATGTCTCACCAACATGACTGCCTAAACATGACCTGAAGCAGCAAGCATCAATAGACATGCTAACATGGACAAAGGAGAGCACAGGAGTAAGCTTAATCTACTCAAAAACTACAGGCAACTAACTTGGAGAGTGGGAGGAATGGTCTTCTCAATCGAAATGGATAGCAAAATGAAACATATCATCAGGAGAGGTGCCTTATTTGGTAAAAGGCTTATAGTAAAAGCCGAACACCCGAGTTTAGACATCAGGAACCCAAGTAAAATGCTGGGAGTGGTAGTGTGCTCCTATTAACCACAGACTTGCAGGGAGGGAAGAAAAGGGTAAGGAGAACTTTAAGTCTTTGGTCACCTAACCTAAGCAAATGCAGGAGTTTCAGGTTCTATGACCACCACCCGAAAGTCCACTGGCAGACCAAGATACCACTATATTGTGCATTGGTAGAATCTGTCTCAAAAGAATGGAATAAAGGTACCTACTGTGAGTCTCTGGCCTCCATACACATTTACATGCAGTTGCATGAGTACCTGTACATACTATGACACACACACACACACACGCACACACACACACGCACACACAAATATACACACACACACCTGAACGCATACACACAAACTCATACACCTACTCATGTACATACACACACACATTCATACACATATCCACACACATACATACACACACATACATACACACACATACTCATAGACACATATACACAAGCATACACACATTCACACACAAAACAAACATATGCTCATACACCATGCATATGCAAACACACACACACTAAAACTGACACAAATCATACCTTTCACACAGAGTTGTAGGCATCTTTCTAGGGATATATGTGAACCATTTTTATTCAAAGGCAGTTTTACCTGGAATGCTGCTTCATGGAGTAATAAGCAACTTGTGCTCATATGTGACACTCTTCATGTGTTGGCTTTCTAGTTCAAGGTCACAGTGTCATGGTGATGACAAGATCTCTACAGGAGTTGACTTCTACTTTTGGACAATCATTTGTTGCATATTTATTGACTAGCTTCTCAAAATAATCAACAGAGACAGAGAGAGAGAGAGAGAGAGAGAGAGAGAGAGAGAGAGAGAGAGAGACTGAATCCACTTATCCACTTGATGGACAGTGACCCTACAGGTCCACACCAGCTCCTTTTGCTGGTGAGACTGCCTCACATGACTGAACCCGCTGTAGGCTTGCTAATGCTTCTGTCCTGACATGCATATCTGAAAACGCCTAGTCTCTATCACCTGCAGCTTGCTGTCTTCCTTCCTTCCACTGTTACCCTGTACCCCCTGTGATACTATTGTTCATCTTAAATGGACTTTCTTTTGTGATCTGATTCCATCACAACTACCCAAGTCAGACATCTGAGGTACTCTCATTGCCTTTTGTTTCCCCTCAGTTCTAAAACTCGTGCTATTTATGAAAAATTGCATACTCTAGCTGGAAAGGACTGTATTTCTTTGGTATATCGTAAGTAGATTTACGTACTTGAACTTAACTAAAATGCTAACTTTTAGATACTTCTTTCTCCATGTCACATTTGTTATTCTTTTGAGCCATAATCTCTTAGGTTTCCATGATTCCTTTTCATCTTTACTTTTTTATGTGAGCCTGGAGAGTTACTTAGCCTTCTCTGCCTTCCCCAGCCATCCTTCCCCTCTGTTACTAGGGATATCAGCTTTGAGAAAAGTCACAGAGGGAGATCATCCTGGAGCCATGTGTCTTTATCAGTTGAATGGTTAGATAAACTGTAGCTTCAGTTTTATTTCTCTAAATGCATCTCAGGTCTGCAACTGTGGCTGTGATTCATCTGAACAAACAATATGTCATACTCCTGTAAGCCCAACTGATCTTTTTCTGTACACTTAAGGACCATTTTTGTGACATAAAAATAGATATGTGTATGCACACACCCTCACTTATATACAGTATCTTATACACAATGTGCATTATACAGACCTCAGAGATTTAGGTAAATGGAAAGCAAATGGTCAGTTTCCCCCTGTAAGTATAAGCTCGCTTTGCCCATAATCTCTACAACTTAACAGCTCATTTTCGATGGTTCTGTTACTATATCCTTGCAGAAAAC